TTTAAAACCTACACTCTTATTGTGTTTCTAGTTGCATAAAGTATAATGAAGACTTGGAATTTTTCCAATGAAAACTGTAAACATATTCTCAGAACAAATATAATCTAATTTTTATTTATCCATATAACAATGATATTATTAACATTTCTACAGTTTATGAAGTACCTAGTCTAGAGTCTGGCATATAGTTTTTGAATAAAAAGATTGGTGCATACTTTTGTTCCCTTTGAACAACAGGCAAGACATTTCTAGTCACCATAATTGTTTCTCTACTTTCCCTTCACTAATGACTGAATATGTATCTAAAGAGCAGTTTCAATGGGTTCATCAAATAAATACTCCACTAAAAGTAGTCCCTGTATTACAAATAAATGCAAGTTTAAAACATGTATGGTTACCATCTATGGCATTGTCATATCATAAAGATGCCAGACACACCATACTGGAGCTGCTGCCAAATTCTTCCTTTAGAACATTGTAACTACCTACCAGTACAATAAAATTTTCCTTGAAGGCCAGCCTGGTTGCATAGCCGTTAAGTTCACGGGCTCCGCTGCGGTAGCCCGGGGTTCTCGTGTTTGGATCCCAGGTGCGAACCTATTCACTGCTTGTCAAGGCATGCTGTGGTGGCGTCCCCTATAAAGTAGAGGAAGATGGGCACGGATGTTAGCCCAGGACCAATCTTCCTCAGCAAAAAGAGGAGGATTGGCAACAGATGTTAGCTCAGGGTTAATCTTCCTTAAAAAAAAATTTTGCCTTGAAAACAAAACTCCCAAAAGAGAGACCTATCTAACACTAAATCTCATTTAAACAATCTCCCCAAGGTCTTATAAAATAGTAGAGAAAAAAGCAATTTAGATACATTATGATAGAAACTGAAGCTTGCAAAAATTGTAAACATGCTACTAGTTACCATTTGCAAAGCTCTCATTTCCCATATCTCTTATCCGGATGATGCAACTTTGAAAGGAATTTCTGGCTGCTAGTCCCGGAAACATGATGCGGCATAAATAACCCCAGCTGCTGCCAGGTAATGAGACGAGCAGACTTTTTCCTCCTTAAGCAAGTTGACTTATGAATTTTCAAGGAAAGAGAACTGAATTCTTTTCTAACTGCTTGAGAAAAACAACAGTACTAGTCTAGCATTATATGTTTACATTTAGGCTTGACATATTATGAAACTTGACTTCAATTAGCAAAAACTTGAAAAACATACCTGACAGAATTTAAGGGTTTAGCAAATATTTATTTCTTTCTCGTCTAAGTTGAACCAAATAGAAATTGTACATAATGGTACAGACAAATTATGCAGTGCATAGTGGCAGATCCATGTGATAGTCAAAGAGACACATTGTCAACGGTCTTTGCAGCTTGCAACCAGAAGATAAGTCTCATGGCTTATAATCAATGAAAAGAAATAACATGGCACATGCTGTTATGGACCTAGGCAAGCAAATAAAAGGAAGCCATACAGACAAGAATACCCCAATATAGTACTCCAGCTTGTAACTAAGCCATTTAAACACAAACAGAACATATTCAATTTATAATGAAAGCCAAAATATAATGCTATCTTCCCAAGAAAAATAAAATAAACACACCAGCTTAAATAACACACTACAATCAAAAGAGTGTTTGTGGAAAATCTATTATTTATATCTGATTCAAATGCAACAGTTGTTGGCCTGAAAAATGAACACTGTTTTTGAAAATGTAACTCAATGTGACAACTCTGCTGTAAGGAAAATGAACAACTCCTTATTGTCATCATAACTGCAGCGCTTTCTCCTGGGATCCCTAATATCTATACAATTTCCTTACTAGATCTGTCAGGCTAAAGTAATTCATTTTTAAGGACAACAGCTGCTGTGTTTGTTTCATGCTTAACACTAACACACAAAACTATTTACTATATTTTACAAATTTTACAAATGTTCATAATCACTACGAAGATTTACAAAACTCTACACCCTATAGCAAATATTAAAGACGCCATAGAAACATCCTATGTATTTAACTAATTTTGGGAATGAAAAAACTCTAAAACATGTATGGAATTGCCACTTACTAAACAGGCAAAGACTTTCTGTTCCCTTTTTTCTAGAGTTCTTAGTTTTATTTCTATTTTTAATCCCCGTTTCTCCAAGTTGATAGCTTTGCACTGAAATATTCAGTAATAAACACAAAAGAAAGAATTAGCAATGTAGAGTGTTAGATGTGGAAGAGACCTCACAAATCATGAAGAAAAACCCCTTCAAGTTGTAATCCTCCTTGCTAACAAATCTGCATCTCTAGCTCAACGGATGACGTGGTCCTGAAATAGGAAGTGTACATTGTTCTACATCAAGGCTCATTCTATTTACAGGTCCTCTCCCTTAACAAAGAATAACATAGAAGAAGTCAGAAGAAGCAGATGACCCTTTGGAACTAGATGGCTGGTTAGGATTCTGTCTCAGCTATGTGTTCCTAGAGGGCACAATTTCTCTCCAACAAGTTTATGTCTGGGGAAAATGTGGGGTCAGGGCAGACTCTTAATTCCTCCAAGTCTTGCAGGTAGCTACGTATGTGCCCTTCTTGAGTTCAAGAAGAAGGGAATAAATCTGATCAATTATCTGTGATTTTCCAAGCCTGGGCATTTCTCAAAGGAGATTCTGAATTTGAAGTCTAACACCAGACAGAACAAAAGGTTGGGAATATGTTTTTTTGGTAGGTTTCAGGTTCTCAAGAGGAACAGAGCAATGTAGGTTGTTGGTTTGTTTGTCTTTTGAGAAGGCAATGGAGATTTATCCTAAAGTATATCATGACGTGTGTGTGTGCACATGCAAGTGCATACCTACACACATGTATGGGGGGGAGAAAAGAGGAGAGACTGAGAAAATGAAAAAGTGTGTATACATGAAATCTAGTGCTCTCCCTAAATAATGGACTTGAGTCCTCAAATTTTTCTTATCAGGCCTCTTTCAAATCAGAATTTAAAACTTTTTTTTTTCTGGTTAATAGTCATCTCATTTTAGTTGACCAGCTTATAGGTTCATTTAATTCTTAAGACACATCATAGAAAAGTTATTTCCCTCAATCTCATCTCTTCAGTTACCAAATATTTTAGTTCACAAGTGACACATCGTTATTGTTAACTCGCTTGTATGTGTCATTCAGATTAAAACGAGAACTACTTATGCCATATCCGCCTTACTTTTTTGTTTCATCGAATACAGAAGAAAATCCTGCTTTCCCTTCTCTTGTGTTAATGGAAGAATATTTTCAAGAAATTGTGCTTTATTGACTTATCTGTTCACTCTGAATATTCCAGACATAAACTTTGCTAAGGACCCTGTGATCTCTAGTTAACGGTTCTATTTTTCCATATTGGGCAGGTTTTTACTGAAATACAAGCTGTTTTCAGTTAATATCGGTGGGCAGCAATGACCTCCGGTGGAATCTTGGGTAAACAGCAACTGGGTTTTTCAGAGAGTATTAATTTTACATATATTTGTGTCCTTTTGATCTTTTGGAGCTTGGCAGCTTACTCAATGAACTTTTCAAGCTTTCTTAAAACATTTATGTATTTGTTAATTTTCTAATGAAATGGCAAGCCATTACAAGTTATCAACACTTTAACTTTCTTAATTATATAGCCTATAAGCTAACTTTGAAAACTGAGATGAATATTATGTAAAATTAACATTTAAATAAATATTCATAATTGTTTTCATGTGTAATTTGCTTGCTTTTAATTTTTATTCAAATAAAAAATCTCAATAAAATTTCATATTTTAGAAAGGTAATTGCTAAATAACATAGGAGAAAGGAAAGACTTCAGGGAATAAGCATTCTCAAAACTAAAAACTTCTGATAATATTTAGAAAAGTAAAAGCACTCTGAACATCTCGGTAGTTAAGTGAACTCATGAAACAATTTTCCTATTTGTTACTATAAAATAGGAAAATTTTATATCTGAGAGCAAAATGCTGTAATACTTTTTTAATAATAAAACATTATATTTCTGTAATATCTTTTAAATTTCAGGGATGATTATTTAGAAGGCATAAAATTTAAGTTTTAATAGAGCTTCAGTGTTGTAATGTCTTCGTTTTTGGCTTGTGAGGTAATAAATTATTCATAAACATATTATTTCCATCTTAAAGCATGACATAAGCTTTAACACATTTTTATTTCAGTTAGTTTTTTCTGAAAATGGACTAGATGTACTTACTGAGAAATGGCTTTCAAATCTACTAGACAATCTGTAGAGTAAAAAAAAATATATGAATATACTTTTTCTACCACAAGAGGGCAGCAAAATTTTTTTCAGTTAGAGTTCTAACTGTAACCCCATGTCTTGACATTCTTTGATAACTTTCTAAGAAGTTACCTTAATTTCATTCTTTCTGCACTGGAGCGAAAAAATTGAAAGGATGTTTTCTTGTCGTGAAACGTAACTATTGTACATATGGTTTAATAAATGTTTTATGAAGGTCATAAGCCTCAAGGTGACCACAATTTTTCTTTCATGGTTTACAATAATTACAATACACCTGCTTCATAAAACTCATGGCTTAGACAACACTAATACAATAATTCTTAAAAAGTACAGACAGTTCACATGAGAATGTTAAAGTATCTGACATTCTGTATATTTCACATAGTGGTGGAAAGGCAAAATTCAGAAGGACTAAAACATTTATTTTTATTTTTTTGTGATTATTAAAATCTCTAATTTTTCATCAATATTATAATAATCTTAAGTCTTCCAAGGGTAAAATAATAATTGCCACGGAAAAGCAGCCAAGTACTCAAAACTACAGCTATGGTCACTTTTTGATAAATATAATGTGAAACCATTGAGCAATATATTTGTTTAAAAAAATTAATTTTATGTGATATTTAACCTGTCAAATGAGTATGCAGAATAATTTATCATAACACTTTTATAGTAATTTCTGTATTACAGAAATCTCTTTTAAGTAATGCGAAGAAGTTGGTTTCTCATTCTTTTTTTTTAGGTTCTAAATATAAATTCTTCAGAAGCCGGTAGATGGTTTCACCCCATCAGGAGTCCAGCGTGTGCCTGGGCAGGCGATAGTGCTCGGCTTTGGGACGGAGCTTCTTTTCCTGTGGGTTGGCATATTTCCACTTGGAAGGTGACATTTTAAGCTTTTTCCTCTTCTTATCTGTGCACCATACCTTTTCACAGTATTCTTCCACTCTCTGGAAGTTGCTATAACCAATCAACTGCAAGAATTCCTTGTACCATGGTTTTACTCCCTGTGGGATGCTGCTCTGGACAGGACAAGGCATCTTGTGAGGCCCGTCCTCTTCATAGTCTTTGTGAAACATTTCCTCCACTCTCTCCTCTTCCACTACCTCCAGAGTGATTTTACGGACAGTGTGGACAAAACTATGCTCCACTGTCTGGCAAAAATAGGTCCCAGCATCCATTTTGCGTACCCTTAGGAAGAGTAAACCAAGGTCCATCTTAAGCACTCTGTCATCTGTCTTCACCTGCAAGAACAAGAAAATTAATGGCACTGGAGTATTATCCAGGAGAAAAGAACACCAGGTTATAATCGTTTACACTATCTATCATGAGGTTTTTCATTTTTTGTTATCACATGATGAAATCCTGTGAGATTATATACATATATATATATATACACACACACAGAGAGAGAGAGAGATGCTAAGTAATTAAATCAGGTGTGTGTGTGTGTGTGTGTGTGTGTCTTGAACTTATTTATATTTCACATCACTTCATATCAATGACTTTGAGGTTATTTCACACTAATATTGTTAAGAGCAAAGTGAGAGAGCTTTCTCCCTAATGATTTCAATTAATCATTAGGAAGAAAGTATAGCACTCAAAGTTAGAGTGAAAGGAAGATTTATCAAATTTAGTTTTTAACTTCTTTTTTAATGGAAAGAATAAATGCCATTTCTCACATTAGTTCAGGGGTTCTGACGCCTTCCAGATCATAGTGACAATGTTTCTACGAGGATCTCTGTTTAGAGAGCTGGCCCACTTTCACTCTCCCTTCTTATGAGAAAATTCATCCATTCATTAATTCAGTGAGCATTCCTTACATTTCTACAAGGCTGTCCATTTAACAGAGATTAAAAAATAAACAAGTAAAATCCAGATTTTGCTCTGAAGGACCTCACAGTCTGGTAAATATTAGATTTGCATATACCTTCAGTGCTCAAATATCTCCTTTTTTATGTTTGTGACATAATAAATTATGCACATTACTTCTATAAATAATTACAATTCAAGGTAAGAAGAGTACAATAAAGCTTTCAATAAATATCTCATGTTTTATCGTCAATAGTTGTACTAGTGAGTATAGGATTTGACATTAGACGAAGCTAGATTCAAACATTGGCACCACCATCTACTAATTGTGTGCTCTAGGGCATTCATGTATATTTTCTGCCTTAGTTTTCTTCTTAAAAATGGAGATAATAATCCTAATGTAACTTGAAGGACTGCTGTGAAGTTTAAATGACACAGGTGAGAATACTTTGTACAGTGCTATCAATACTTACCTCTACCTTTCCTACATACATTCCTCTGGCTAAAAGCAAACTGATAGGTTTTCATATCGCCTAGGATCATATGACACTGATATAAAGGTGATTCACACTATACTGGCTGACATCCTTTGAGAAAACAAAACAAAAGCAATATTCACCTTTGCTGATATAAAAGGGGTGTAGAGGCAACAACCACAACCGCTTTGGCAGTAGAGGCCATCACAACAAGCACATTTTTGTCCCAGTGGTAGGTCCTGGCAAGGCCTGCTGGGCTCAGCTCTTCTGAGCCTTGATCAATTCAGGCATGTCTGAAGTTGCAATGTGATTATGCATGTGTGATTACTCATGTGTGGTCATTTATATAACTTGTGGATAATGTGGCACAATGGCGTTGGTGGTGTAGTAAGAAATAGTACCCAAACAGGAATGTTAATGTTAAATTTTGAGGCTCCCAGAGGCATTTTTTCATTGAGTCACGTAAGGTGAGTTAGTTACTCAGCAGCTTCAGAGTGCCATAGCTGGGCAAGAAAAGGAGCTCCATGTGGCTTTCATAAGGGCTTCCTTGGACGTGGCAGGACCACGCCTACAGCCAGTCACTCAAGAAGTTCTCCAGTGAGGAACCAGGAAGAGCTCTCAAACCAAAACCATCTTCACTGCACAGAAACAATCTGTTGTCTATGGTTTTGCTGGGAACGTTTCTTTAGCACCTGCCACAGCCAACCAAGTCTTAAAGGACTTGGCTCACTCTGCTCCTTTTCACCAGGCTTCTGGCAAGTCTTCTCTTCTACCACTCGCTTTCTCCATAAATTTACTATCTATGGCAATCCAGCTGTGACCACGCCACGCTGCGGATGACTCTGACTCTGAAGCACAGCCTCCATTGTTTTCAAGCCTGCAACTGCATTCGACATAGATGGATCTTCCTCTTTAAACACCATTTTTTTTTCTGTGCAGAACATGCCGTCCTAGCTCTCTTGTTGGTTCCTTCTTGGTCTCTTCTGTAGATTTCTTTTTCTCTCTGAGGCAAAATCTTCCATCCTTCCCGATCTCATGTTTTATTTGCATCCATTTGATAACTCTTCTGTTTTCTCATTTCGACCAGCTTCCCTATGATAGTGCATCTTACATATAAATAATCCATTGTTTTGTGTTTCCTATTAATTACAAAACACTGAGACTTATATGATCCTTCATTATCCACAATTCAGTGTGTTTCCACTCAAACCGTACTTCCCCAATTTGCTAACTTCCCTATTTCTGACAATTACATCATATTTTACACCACATTTTATGTACATACTTGTACATTTTACATGAAATTCTTCTAGTACCCCTAGCCTCAACTGTTGATCATTTTAACTTCCCTCTCATTATTATGTCCTCATCTCCAATACATCACAAATTCCCATCAACATTTCTTCAGTGGTGACCATCAGAAACATCCTTCCATTTCATTACTTCTGGCACAATGTTAGACGCGCATACTTCATGACTGATTCTTCACCCTTATCTCATGGCAGACTCCCCATCTTCACTCTTCTCTTCCTGCTTTCACGCCCGCTTGATTCTGTTTCAGGACTTGTCTCCGCCTCGCTGGACTTCCCTACGGCTGTTGCCTTCTCATCTGGAAGGTTGAACTAAATGTCATCTCTTCAAACAGGCCTCCCTCACACCCCTGGAAAAGTGTCCTCCTTCCCTTATTACCGTCATTTCACCTGTTAACCTTTATACACCTGAGCATGCAACATTACCTGCAAATATAGAACAATAGTCCTTCAGTTAATTTTCTTTTGACTGATATCATTCCCCTTTATCTCAACAAATGGGTACTATTTCACTCTTCTTCAAAGTTCACTTCCTTTTGTCATGCTCCTGACTGAGAATTTATTCAGACTCTACTGCTTGCTGGAGCAGGTGAGAATTGCTCCATTAACCAGATCCTGCCTTTCTAAATCTATATCCCAAAACAGCTTAACACAGTGCTTCTTACGAGTTGGTGGAATGATTCCACCGGAGGTCATTGCTGCCCACCGATATTAACTGGAAATCAATGAGTGTTCTATAAAGATTTCTTAGATTATTGTGTTTATTTTCATGATAATCAATATAAATTAATAAACTATATTTGGGATCATGTGGAAGATCAGCCTCATTGTCAATATTTGTGTTTATCACAGACTTCGAACCATTTTCAAAGCTTTAATAGTTTCCAGCTGCTGCGAAGAACAAAGATGGATTTAATATGTTAATGATACGATCCAGTCAAATGAAAACCAAACAACATCCATGCAGTAATGTAAGTTTTGAAGTTACTTGTATAAAGTGTTGGGGGGACTGAATCATCACATGGCCCAGTGCTATAGGCAGATGTGTTATACACACACACATATACACATATGCAGTAGTCTGTGTCCCATATTACATCCCTGGAGATATCTTATTTCAGTGAAAAAACAAATCATTGCATTAAATAAACATTTAAATGATGCATAGATGTTTATATTTTATTTTTAAATTTATTTTGGTTCTATATTTGAATAAAAGTTGCAAGCATAAAGAATGCATTTCTTGTTTGAATTTTGTGAATATTTAATCAATACTTTAATGAAAGTCACACTAGCAGCCCAAGACAATGTTTTACTTTTCAGGTCAGGTGGTGGGAGCAATCTATGCAACACTAGAGTCAAATTTTCCTGTTTACAACTCCTCGTGCTCTCGGTTCCCTGTAGTGCCGCCATATCTCCCACTTCCATGTCTTATCTGGTTTTATTCTTTCTTTCTTTTTCTACTCTCCGCCAATTCATTTTTTTTAAAAGTTCCTTCCAGGCTTAAACTTTCATTTCTTAAATGAATACTTTCTTTACAGCCCATAAAGATCTTTTGTTTCTTGTTGTAACTCAATAGCATCCACATTTGTAGCACATAAGCTGGATATTTATATTCCTCTTCAAACAATTTTTCCATGCAGGTCTCTTTAACCATATTATAAGTTTCCTAAGGGCAAAGGTCCATCTCCTCGTTATTCTGAATATTCCATAATGAGTACAGTGCTCAGAATACAGTGAAAAATGAGAACATATCACTTTGCTCAGAGTGTACAAGCATGCAAGGCAATGGTGTATACCAATAAGGATATAGTCCAAAGTGATCCACTTCTTCCAGTAATGGTTTGGGCAGGGAGGAAGCAAGCATGATTGCAGGAGCAGCTAGTAACTAATGAAAGAGGGCTATGCTTCACAGATACATAGGAAAAGCAGTTCTAGGACATTTCCTTCACCTAAAAAGAATCAGCATACAAACATCCTCATTGAACATGACCCTTTTTTCTCTCTCTACTATATCTCCTGTGAGAGTGAATAATATACGAGAAAATAGGCAAGTCATCTAGCCTAATTTCTGGCATACAGCAAGAAGTTATGGATGTGTTTTAAAATAAAGCAAAAAAGAAATAAATACAAATCCTTGACCACTGAATTAGGAGTGTTTTTTTTTTTTCCCCCAAGTCTGGTATGAAAAGCAGGTATTTCTCTCATAATCACAAACTCAAGTTTGAGAAACACTGCTTGTGTATCTATAACCCAGATTGGTTCAAAGACGTAGAAGCACATGACGGTACAATGAGAATTGTCCCACATTGTTTACTTGCATGTTAGAGATAGTGCCTGTCTCAGAATTTTGGTCTCCCCTCCTGGTCACAGTGAATCATAAATTCAGGAATAAAAGATGTTTTAACTGGCAAGTTGGACAGCCAGACACTATGTAAGTTAAATCACGTTGAAAGTTGAATGTATCTTCCACGGCCTATGAATACCTAAAAATAAAAAATGACTTAGAAATTTGCATTTCAAGTCCTTCCACAATTTCATCTTTCCACTTTCGTTAACATGGGTACCTTCAACATCAAATCTTGATTACAGAATTGTTTTCAGCCGGCTGTGTTTTTTCTATGTCTGCAGACCAGATTTCCTTGG